AGAAAAGAATTTTGTTGATGGTGCTCGTACTTGACAAGATGTCATATTTAAGTTGTGAGAAGTGGGCGGGGCTTAGGTTAAAGGTCTGGGTAGGGGGGCTCTCCCGCTCCAGCTTGCTCTATGGAGAGAGGGTGATTGCGCACTGCGCATGCGGCGAACTCCCGAAAATCTGGGAGCCTTGAGTCGCGAATTCATTCCTCTCATACCCCTACCGTGCTTCTCAAAAAAAAAAAAGTGCGCCTGGTTTGACCGCTTAGCCGTGGTGGAGCGCTCGAACCACTGAAAAAAAGTGGGCACACTCCGTAGCATGGTAGTCAGCAATCTCCCTACTAATCTCTGCTGCTTACTAGTTTATCCATAGATATATTAGAATAAAGCGCGCCAGGGGCAAAATCTTTCGATACGTGGAGTGAGAGAGAAGGCTGCCAGGCCTGCCAGTGAGTCCCTGAGGGCGTATTCCATAAGCTCCAGCAGTTAATCTTCAAGGATCTCGGTATCCTAGATGACATTTAAGTGCAAGAGGAAAATAATGACATATGTTATCTCTCTCGCGCTAATAAGTTATCTACACATTATCTAAATGCTTAGATTAAACGGCCAGTGCTTACGGAATGCATCCCGTGTGTCTTTGTCTAGTAGTCATTAACACAGATAGTGAGCAGTTGCGCATGCTTTGGTTAGAAAAAGATATAAGGGGACTCACTGGCAGCCTTCTCTCTCACTCCGCGTGTCGCGCTCTCTTACAATAAACCAGACCTCTGGCGTGCTCTATTTTCATATCTCTATGAGTTTATTATAACGAGGCCTTCAGAATTGAATTATTCACATTAACTTTTATTTTTACAATTTTTTGAATTTAAGAAGAGAGTCTCATGGCAATTTTTTTGTAACGTTTTTAAAATATTATATTTAACTTGTAAACAATACATAAGGTTAGAAAACAACGTTTCGGAGTACGTGAAACACAATTTCTACGCGTGAGAAACATAGAGATATTTCTAACTAATATCTCTTTGGTGAGAATAATTAATATATAGCCCAAGCCTGTTGTGTCAATAAGCCTGTATTGTGTCCAGGCTTGTTCGCTTGTTCCTTCTTATATCTATTATGTGTATTATGTCGTATGTTTCTTGGTTACAACTCTTAGGCTGCACTCGCTGCAGTCATATTGAGCGCAATAGAGCGTGCAGGATAGAATTGTCCCGATATGCGGCAGTGTTAAGTCTATTGCGCTGCAGGATAGTCCTGTTGCGCTGCAGGATAGCCCTATTGCGCAGCGTAATAGACTTATGATAAATATCACTTAATAATTATGTTCATGTAATAAAAAATAAATAAATTGTTCTTTCCAAACAATTATTTACATAATTATTTTGTACTATACACTGACGCTGCCGTTTCGCAGCGCTTCAGTTCTTCAGTCATAGACTATGTGCGTGATACATTTGGTAAAACAATGCTGCTTACAACTACCCTTTATGATCACGAATCACGAGTCGAGTCGCATAGGGATAATATTTCTATGGTCCTGTGTGTCTTACGTGTTTCTATGCACACGAACGTGAAGTTGCATTTACCCAATATAAATTTGTTTACGAAATTCAAAATTGGTCCGTCGTAATTATTTTAACTTTCAATTGAAGTATAATTACAAAGTAAAAGCCAAATGTCGTACAAAGGACCCCAAAAAGTGCAGAAGGTGATGGTGCAGCCCATCAACCTGATTTTCCGTTATCTGCAGAATCGCTCGCGTGTCCAGGTTTGGCTCTACGAGAATGTTAACCTACGTATAGAGGGTCACATAGTCGGCTTTGATGAGTACATGAATTTAGTTCTTGATGACGCTGAAGAATATAACGTCAAGTCTAAAATTAGAAAGCCTATTGGACGCGTCATGCTTAAAGGCGACAATATTACACTTATTCAGAACACTAATCCATCGGCCAATAATTAACAAATAGTTTTGCTCTAATGGTTTAGTTAAACCTTAACGTTAACTGCTTGACTTTTCAATGGTGCTTCGTTTGTTTTCGCCGCAGTCCAGCTCTATTATGTAAAGCTCATTTCCATCGCAGACAATTTTACCCATACTTTTGAAATTTGGGTTGCTTATTTTTTCATGTATCGCCTTACAAGCCATATAATGTTAATAGAATTCAAACATTACATTCAAAACTTTGCTGTTGAAAATTGGAAATACTCTCATGTTCACCTTTTTTTGTATGAAGTATTAAAAATTTTATGACTGTATGGACTTTATTTTATTTACAACCCTCCTCTGCACTTATGTCTGATTTTTATTTCTATATAATTTTTTTAATATCAGGTTAATTAAGATATGGTATTTTAAATTCTGCTAAATTAACTATAAAAGTTAAGGTTCAATAGGATAGTGAAAGACTCCATTTCAACTTACAGCTATTAAGATTTTTAAATGTGATAAAAAAAATATTTTATCTATTAAACGAAACGTATAATTGATACTTAAACTGTTGTTTAGTTCTAATAAGTACCAATATTGATGTGAGTTTCGAAACAAGTTCCCATACCTGTCTACAACCATTCGGTGATATCTCTCCCAAATTCTCAGGTCATCTATGTCATGCCAAAAACTCAGCTGCGATTTCTCTAAAAGTATTCTTACTTGAAAATAATTCAATTTTACAGTATTCAAGCTTGCCCTGCTGCTATTACTATTGAGATGGTACATCATACTAAACATCTTTGAAAGAATCTTGTGCCAATTAAAAAAAAATGAAACGTGTTTCTTAACTTCTCCAGTGCTTTTTCAGGTGAGATATCAGATAAGATTTGACCTTAAAATTTGAGAAATTTATTTTATTCACCTTCAGTTACCTGCAATCTTGGGTGAGATCATACTTAACTATCAGTTGATGGTTTAAACAGGGATAACTAAAAATAGAGTGTGATCACTTTTAACTCCAGAAGCTTAAACGAATTTGTGATTAAAATACAAGTACACCCTGCATTGAAATTTGTAACAATCATTTGAAAGTAGCAAAATTTAAGACGAAGTTAAAAAAATCATGGGTTTTTAAAATTTGGCACTGTATTTCAGATATTCAGCTCTTAAATCTTTATCATCTTGAGCAGAGAAATAATATTAAAAGTCTTTCTTTGAATTAAGTTTACTTAGCATTTACACACCAGTAAAAAATGTTTGATTAAATTTACTCTAGACACTCACTTTTTTCCCTGAACAAAGAGTTGAGAGCGCAGGGAGAAATGGTGTGAGCATCGACTTGAAGTAAGCAAGTGGAGGAATGCTTCTTTCTTGCAAAATTATTTATTAAATTTAAAACGCAATATTGAGTAGGTAGATCTAACAATATGTGATATCTTACACGTGACTAAGGGTTACTATTTGGTGGACACCCGATTTTTAACTTGAAAACGGTTTAAAGTAAGAGATAGAGGTTGTCAGTATTCCCTACAAGTCTTAAAGTGAAATATTTACTGGTTTCAAAATAAATTAATTAATTTTCGAATGCAACGTTGTGTCCCACCCTAAGGTCCATTCTGAAAGAAGATGACGGAATTATAGAAGCTAGCTATACTAAGTACATAGTAAGTATTGCTTCTGTAAAGCCATGTACCATGTGGCACTACATATATATAACGTGGTTTCATGTACGACATTACATAAGGGGTCTTAGCTTGGTAATGACATATGTAATTTCATATGAAAAAACACTTGGAATTAAAAATTGGAAAAAAAAAATAACTGCTAAATACTGTAATTCGTCATTTACTGTGTACAATCAGTGATACCATCCGGATGATAACTATAAAACAAGGGAATTCAAGTAATATCTAAGGAATTAAAAAATTGAATTTTAGGTAAAAGTGCAGTTACGGACACCTTTTGAGAAGTTAGCTACAGGCTCTGTTCGGTAATGTATAGATGACTAGCTTAAGCTCTGAATTAGAAATTTGTTGTTCAAGAGGGCGTTTATGTTTTTCAACGTTTTTTTTACGCTGATTACGGGAAAAATAATTACAAATTTTTTAAATAATTGGATCAATGTGAAAATCGTGTCTGAAGTTTATTTTACTCATATCTCTTTAACGGTAACAGATACGACATAAATAAAAATACCAGCGTATAGGGCGGAAAATTTCCTATCGATTTGATTCATTACATATCTTCAGATAAGCGCGAAATCATTCTTAAGAAATTAATTAAGCATTTTTTACACTTGCTGTAAGAGTGAGTGAGAAGGAGAGAGCGGCAGCCACGACGAGCTACAAGGCCTACGACATGTAAACAAACATTGCTTTTCAGATTCAGACGGTATGAAACGTTTTAGATGTTTCCTACATCTGATTCAAAGTGAGCTATATACTGTCTTTATTGTCCCATTACAGTACTCCATTTTAGTGACACATTAGAAGGAACATAGACGTACAAAGGATAGACTGCTTACAATTAGACCCAAACTAGTGGAGTATATGTATCTGAGCCTACGGGCGATGATAAATAAAAAAAAAAAAAAAAAAAGTATATGTATTGCATATAGTCTACGGTATATAGGAGTATTATTATCAAAAATAAGTAGGGAGATTGCCACTTCCAGCGTTGCGTTAGGCGGATAACTATATATAGCTATACGATCTAGGGAGAATATTCCGTCGAGCGGACAGCAATGCAGTAAAGGGGCATTGCCAAAGACATACACGGAAATTCAAAATTGTAATATTAATAACACAAGTGCCTATCACCCAATGACCCGGGGCGCTAACTGGCCACTCTGTTAAGTAAATAATTTTTAATAACACAAGCGCCTATCACCCAATGACCCAGGGCGCTTACTGGCAACTCAGTTAGATAACTAATTATTAATAACACAAGCGCCTATCACCTAATGACAAGCGGCGCTTAATAGCAACTCTGTTAAATAAATAATTTTTAATAACAGAAGCACCTATCACC